GGGCAGGGGGCATCCCTGGTAGGGCGGGTGGCCCTGATCAGGGCTGGGACAGCGAGGGACCTCACAGGGGTTTGGGGGGGACAAGGAGAGGGAGTGGGGGGCAGGCATGGGCTGTGCACTCCCAGGAGCAGGGGGAGAGGAGGTTTTGTACCTCATAGTGTCACTGATTTTGAAGTCCTGGAGCTAGAGCTGAATGAACAGTAAAAGCAGGTTAAATCATTAACCAGTTAGGGGACGGGGAAGCAGCTGTAAAAGGAACAGAGGAAGAAGGCCAGATTATTATTATTTGTTTCTTTTCCTTTTTTTTTTTTTCTTTTTGTTTTTGTTTCGTTTCGTTTTTCCTTTTCCTTGTCTTCTCTCATCTGGGCCCTGCTGTGCCCCCCATCACAAGCCCTGCTTGGCCAGGGAAGCAGACACTTCATTTTTTTTTTTTTCTTTTTGTTTTTGTTTCGTTTCGTTTTTCCTTTTCCTTGTCTTCTCTCATCTGGGCCCTGCTGTGCCCCCCATCACAAGCCCTGCTTGGCCAGGGAAGCAGACACTTCATCAGCTAGTGTGGCCAGCTGGGGGGAGTCCACCATGTTGATGCTGCCAGTGGAGGAGACGTTGCTGAGGCGGCGGGGGGAGGCATCCCCGGAGATGGTCGGGGACTTGTAGACGATTTCAGCGCCGTGGTCGGTCTTGGCTTTGGCGTTCTCACGGAAAGTCAGCTTGTGGGTCTCGATCTGCAGGGGCAGGGATGGAGGGGTGAGGGTGCAAGGCAACACCTGGAGAAGATTTTTACCTGCCAAGCTGCTGGTGCAGCTCGGAGGAAAGCTCAGTTTGTTGTCAGCCCCATACACACACACCCAGCGCTCCCAGGCATCAGGAACGTCACATCCAGGAGGGGTGGCGGGACTGGAGCATCCCGGGATGCTGCCAGATCCTTCCCAAGCTCCCAGGAGTGGTGGTGAGTCCCAGCACAACCTGGGCTGCTCCCACTCCCCTAGCAGAGATTTAGGGAGGGGGTGGGACCCTTACACAGGTTGTGAGGATGCCCCACAGCTCAGCTGAGCCCGAAGTGCTGCTCCCTCTCTCCCAGCAAGGGCCAGGGAGGGGAGGTGAAGCAGACAGGGTTTGCTACTTACTGGTGCCCTCCCCAGCCCAGTGAAAGGCTGGGTGCTGGTTCTCCAGGGGGGTGGGTGGCTCCAGCACCAGGGACTGGAGCCCAGCAGGGTCTGGGCTCGGGCTCTGAGCAGCCTGGGGATGGGTCTTGTCTTCCTTGCCTTTCTCTCTCTACAGGTGAAGAAACCGCCCGGGGCGGTGAGGTGCAAAACAACGCATCAGCAACAAAAAAAAACACCCCAAGATCCAATAAATGTCAACCAGAAGGAAAAAAAAAGATCAAAATTGAAGAAAAGAAAGAGAAAACTGGGGAGCAAAAGATCTGAAAAACGAGGCCATTCACTGGTTCATAGGAAGAACAGCAACTGCCTTTGGAGACAAGGAGGAAAACTTTCCCTGGCAGCAAAGGTGCTGGCACAGGGACTTTGCCAGAGCACAGAGCACCCCAGATTCCCACAGGACACCCAGTCTGGAGAGCTGTGGGTTCTGTGTCCAAATCGTTTGCCTGGCAGAGCAAGGAGGGGACTGGAGACACTGGGGAGAAAGGCAGAGGGGCAGCAGAACCACCCACAGATGCTCTATGTGGAGGGCTGATGGGGCTCAGCTGTGTCCTGCCCCCTCCCTGCCAACTGAGTGTCCCACCTCGGGGCAGCACTGCCTGAGGATGGTCCCTGGTGCCAAGGTGGGAATGGGAATGGTCTGGACAAGGGAAACAATCTGAGGCAGCTTCTGAACTCAAGGGACACCAACAGCCTCCTCTGGGTGTGGATTTAGGCAGAGTGTGGGCAACTGCCAGGCTGGAAGGCTGAGGCAGGTGATACCACTGCTGGGTAAAGCAAATAAATTCCCCCTCCAAAGGGTAAGTTCTTCAAACTGTGGCCCAGTGGATGTGCCAGGATATGAAAGAACCATCATAGTGATCACAAAACCAGGCTGAGTGAAGCACAGGGCAGTCTGATGCGTAGCAGCAGCGAGAGAAGGGTAAGGAAGTCAAGCAGTCCCTCAGGCAGAGGCCAGGAAGAGCTGGGAGGTGCACAGAGAAAACGTGGCCAAGAACGAAGTGCCAAAATACAGGAGCTGAAAGAGAATGTTCCCTTCCCACTGAGAAAAAAAGGTGTTTGAAAAACAAGCAAGATTAAAACCACTTTCCTCCGGAGAATTCAACCACCTGTGTCACCAGGCTGGAGTCTCACCTCTGGGCTTACCTGAGCTCCTGGCCCCCTGCAGGGGACCTTGCTCTCCTCAAAACCAGGTTGTAGACACATTTTAGCTCAGACTTACTGAGAAGTCACCATCAAAGCTCCCAGCAGGACGAGCTCACCCAGGGTTCAGTATTTCACCTGACCTGATTAGCTTCTGTCTTTCAAGTCCCCTGAAATGTGCACCAGCCCCTACACAGCATCCTCAGTCTCAGCTGGGACAGAGATCAGCTTTCTCCTGAGGTGACAGCCTACTGCAAAGTCACCTTTTCTAAATAAAGCTAAGCCTTTAATGCTCCACTTTCATCAGGGAACCAACACCTCTGCAGTGCCCTGAGCTGCCAGCTTTGTGCCACTCCCCTGGGAGTACCTGGCAAGGCAGAGAGCAAAAGCAGTTGCTGATGGTGACACCCCTTAACATAGAAGGTGGGAGCCACAACACGTTTCTGCACAGACTTCAGAGAGCAGCAGAAAGAGCAGGAAACCACAGGTAAGGATATCACCAACAATCACACTCATCTGTGTGGCCAGGGGCCAGAGAAGGGGACAGAAACTGCCACCCTCACAGTTTTGCCATGGCTGCTCTCCAGCAAATGTCCTCTATGTTGGCAGCTGCAGCCCAGGAGCTCCCAGCTCTGCCTGCCATGGGCAGAGGGACAAGCTGGGTGTTTGGGCAGGGGCTGAGCAGCCCAGCCCCAGGCAGGGCATTTTTTTTTTTTGTCCTCTGAAGGACAAGGACAGCCCACCTCACAGAATCACAGAATCATCCTGGTTGGAAAAGACCTTGAAGATCATCAAGTCCAACCTAAATCCACCAACCATAACCTAATCTACCTGTTCAGTGCTTAAATCATGTCCCTCAGCACCACATCTATTTCTTTTAAACACTTCCAGGGATGGTGACTCCACCACCTCCCTGGGCAGCCTGTTCCAGTGTCCATGCTAGAACATGGGCAGCAAACCTCATCAAGAGCTGGTGAAGAGCTGCCTGGCAAGCAGGGAGAGGAGGCCACAGGGGCTAAAGTTGAGCTGGGTGAGCAGGACCTTCTGAGTCCAGACTTCCACAGCCCTTTGGCTCCACACCTGCCCACAGGGCAGACAGACACTTGCAGCTCTCAGCTGTGTCTGCTCTCAGCCCAGGGCCCCTTTACCTTTTTGTTTCCTCCTCCAGGGACGTGGCTGATGTTATCTAAGGACCCAATTTTCGACTGCACCTTATCTTTGAAGTCCAGTTTCTCAGATTTTACCTCCACCTGGCCACCACCTGGAAGAGAAGAGCACACGTGGGATTAGCTCCTGTGCCAGGACAAGCTGGAGGGAAAGCACTGGGGGCTGAGCTCCTACTTGAGGTGGCTCCACCAAAGGGTGAGGAGCAGGACAATGGCAGCACAAAAGACCCCATGATGATCTGGGAAACCTAGAAACCAGGGCAAGTGGGAACCAGAGTAGAGAGACTCTCCAAGGAATACTGTGCAGAGCTGACAGACACCCCATGTTTTATAGAGCCAAGGGTAGGGACCTAACCTGACTGCCCTGAACATCAGCAGTTCTTCCTACTCATTCCTAAATTCTTCCCATTTCCAGACAGGAGTTGGCACAGATGAAGGTGTCCATGGACCAGACCAGATCCTTCCCCCTTCCAGGCAGACTAGAGAGGGTCTGGCAGTGATGGAGCTGGGAGCAGTGTCTAGTACCCCAGGGCTCACTCTGATGCTCTGGTCACTGATCCATGTGCCTCCCCTTGCTCCCTGCACTCCCCTCCCTGTCTCCAGATGCACACCAGGATGTAGCCTGTGAACTTCCCAAGGACCAGCACCCAGTGCTACCAGATGCTCCAAGGATACCTGGTTTGTGATGGATGTTGCCCAGGGAACCACATTTGGATGTCACATGGCTCAGGTCGACTGGCTTGTAAACAATTTGAACCTGTCCACAGAAGAAAGAAAAAGGCAATGAGCTTCTTGCCACCACAGGCAACCTGGGGAGGGGGAGGCACAACACACACCAGCACCTGGTCTGGATTCAAGGGAAAGGACAGTTTAAACCCCAGGAAGATTAATAGTACAAAAGAAATTGTCATCAGAAATGGGAGATCATTAATGCCCATGTGCAGTAGCCTCTCTTAACATGTCAGCATGCACAAGATCACCTCTCCACAGAGGGGGGGGAAGTAGAGGCAATTTTAAAGTGCTTAAGTGAGAGAGAAAGTGGAGTGGTAATTAATTAAGATTTGCATACACATCATCCAAAAAGGAGGAGATATACCAGAGAGAAAACATAAAAAATAAATACCTTTTCTGGTGTAAAACATAAAGCTTATGTCCACAAAAACTGAAAGAACAGAAATGATCAATGTGCACAGAACTTTAAAAAGAGTGACCAAAAATATGCATTTCTGAAAAATGCTGTAATGGAAATAAGGGTTAAAAAAAACTAAAAGAAAAAAAAAAAAAAGGCAAAGTCTAAATATCTGGTTGGAGTTCACATAATTAAAGTTAAAATGGCAATTAGAATATATTGAACCACAACAGTATTTCATGATATTATGCTCTGTTTTTTCATTTGTTTGCCACCCATTGTGTCTCTGACCATGGGGTCCAGCAATTCCACCTCAAGTTCCAAGCCTGGGACAACCAGGTCCCACCAGACACACACACACACACACACACAGGGAGCAGTTCCTGGGGAGCTGTTTAGTGTCACATTAGCAGTTAAACATCACACTGGGAAACACCAAAGACTGGAGAGCTCTGGGACCACCAGATGTGTCAGGGATGGCAAAACCACAGCACACACACACCAGCTGCAGCAGGAGCAGGAGACAAGGGGGTGAGAAAACATCCCCATACCCCCAGAAGTTACCTTGGACTCTGGGTTTGGACCCAGACCTGTGTGTGAATCAGCTGTTGCTGTAGTTAGTGGTGCTGAGCAGGAGAAATTGGATCACCAGCACCTCAAGGCTGGCTCATGCCTGGGAAGTGTCTGGCTCTCAGTAGTAGCCTGGATTTTGAGGGGAGCACATGCTGCTCTCACCAATCCTGGGAAGGATGTGCCAGCACCCAAGGGACCTTTGCAGAGAAGCCGACTCCCCCAGGCAGCCCCCAGACCAACACAGTTGAAAGCCAGCACAAAGGTCTGGCCTTACTCACTGCTCCCCACCAACCTGAGCACCCTGTGCTGACAACAAAGCCCCCAGGGTGAAGGTGCAGCCTTCAGTTCTGATGCAGGTCCCATCACCCTCGGAGTGAGGTGCTGGACCATGGTTGAGTGCTCCACTGAGAAACATTCCCCCCAGGAAAAGGAGGGGGGAACAGAGGCCTAGGCCACTGTCCCACCTGCACGAGCCACTTGTCTCCGATGCTCAGACAAACCAAAGGGCACGTTGGACAGAAAGTGGAGACAGAGACCGGGGAGAAAAGCAGCCCTAGGTTCTAGGAGCACATGGCAGACACAGACACCAAGACAGAGCTGGGGAGAGATCACATGTGTAATGCAGGAGGAGAGCTGGATTCAGCTGGAAGAGGTAACAGATCCCAAAGGGACAGCTGGTGCCTTCATAATCCCAGCTGTGACCCCAAAGGGCCTATGAGCAACTTGGGAACCACTGGGACCTGGGATTGAAAGACATCCCATTTCCAGAGCAAGCAATCAGCAACTGAAACACTTTCTGCTCTCATCCCAGTTCCCTTTTTTTAGACTCCATAAACCCTTACCCTCCTGCTGGGGAGCAGAGATGGGTCTTCCCCATTTTAGCAAGGAAGGAAAAGGGGCACTGAGTTGCTTGCCTGAGAAACCAGTGCCAGAGACCTGGGGGTCCCACCTCTCAGCATCAGCAGTGGTCATGCCTAACACATCATCTTGTCAAGAGCATCCACGGGGTTGGAAAACAAATAAAGATCCCAACCCCAAGTTATTGTACCAAGAGGAAATTCCTCTTGAAGCAGCGTTGGCTGGGCAGGTAGGCCCTGCTGGCAGTGTCATGGAGGACTGAGACATGATGGCCATCTCTTGGTGGTCGTCTCTTGGACGTCTCTTGGGGAGGATCCCCAGGACAGCCCGTGCCACGGCGGCACACGCTGTGCTCCCAGCTGAGCTGCTGCTGTCCCTGTCAGCCAGCACACCCAGCAGTGCTGGCACAGCCTGGGAGGGGTGACAACCTCCAGCCAGATCTTTCTTAACCCACTGCAGTTGCCAACGCTTGCCCACGGTGTGAGCTCTCAGTGGAGAGAAGGGTGAGCTCAGCACCCTGTGCTGCAGCAGAGGTGACTGGGGAGGAAGACCAACTCCTGCTGTAAGCAGGCAGCCCAGCCAGTGCAGGACCCTGGGGTAAGACAGAGCAGAACAAGCAGGGAACCTGCTCCACAGAGGTCCGACCTCTGCAAAGCAGCTGCTCTGACCCCTTAAATAAATGCAGAATATCATCCAATTTAAGATGGAGGTTGCAAACCCAGTTATGTCTCAATGCTCAGGTGCCCAGTCCTCTGCAACGCTCAGTTTCTCAGGGAGGGCATCCCCAGAGATCAAAAACAGCACCAAGAAAATCCATTTGGAACATCTGAGAGGTACCAGAAAGCTTCCTCAGATGGCCACGGACCAGGCAACCACAGATCTGAGTCACACTGTTTGGGGTCTCAGTGATGCTCCTTCCTTGGTCCATCATCTTTCCTGGACCCAAATTCTTGTCTCCAGAGAGACTGGTGTAAATCCACCAACCTCTATGGAGTTTCTCCAGGTTTCTGGCACAGTAACTGAAAGCTGAGTCTGGCTATTTATCTGGGAATGATTTGGAATGGCAGTGTTCAAAATCAATTAATTCCATATTAATTTAGGCTCAGCCTCCATGGGCAAGGAGAAGCTTAATATTTGCATGGATCATATTTGCCTGATGGGAATGGGCAGGATACCTGTGTTTTCACATATTGTGCAGAGTAAGGTGCAATTTAGCAGTATATCAAGCAACAAGGACTGTGTTTCCTGTATAAATCTATTCTACCTAATGCATCAGCAACTCCTTCACTGCCTGCCAGAGGCCACCCAGCCTGCAGACAGTGAGACATCCAGCCTCCCAGGTAGTTTAAAGCCTTTGGGTTAACAGGATGTTTTGTTACAGACATGGTTTCTACACGGGTCAGTTAGTTCTGTCCATGTCAGGCATGTACAGGACTTGTTAGGGTTGATCTAACCATGTCTTTGGGGTTAATGAGGTTAAAGGACAGCACGTCACCAATCCCTATCTGACAGCAGGGTTGCTGCAGATAGCATTGGAGATTTAGTGTATACAACATGCCACTAATAATAAGGATTATTACAGTGCATTCAAAGTGTGAAGGTACTCACACTGCCTCCTCCTGGGATGTGTTTGATATTATCCTTTGAGCCACACCTGGATTGAACGTTGCTAAAGTCCAGCTTCTTATTAATTATCTGCACCTTTGGTAGCCAGAAAAGAGTCATTGCACGTCACCAATTGCTATCTGGTGGCAGGGTCGCTGCAGATAGCATTGGTGGTTTAGTGTACACAACATGCCACTTATAATAAGAACTATTATAGTGCATTCAAAGTGTGAAGGTACTCACACTGCCTCCTCCTGGGATGTGTTTGATATTGTCCTTTGAGCCACACCTGGATTGAACGCTGCTAAAGTCCAGCTTCTTATTAATTATCTGCACCTTTGGTAGCCAGAAAAGAGTGTGAAAAACAACATGACCATCTGCAGCTTGACCATGAGTTATATCACTAAAACCAGGAGCCTGCCTTCCAGTGCCAAGAGCAAAGGAGAATCTCTGGCTTGCTGCAGAGATTTGTCTACTCATAGGTTGGAAACTGAAGATGGAGGTGGGCAGGTTCTAGCTAGAGACTGGACATGTCTGGCTAGTAAGGTAGCCCTGGCTCCCAGGACAGAAACACCAGGAAGAAGCCAGGTCATCCCTTTTTTTTTTTCACTGAACAAAACAAGGAACTTGCTGGGCAGCAAACAGGCTGGAAGGCATCAGTGGGCTGAGCCTCAGCTTCTGCAGAGCCAGTGGAAGGATGGAGCTGAGAGGAAAGTGCCTGCTCAGCCCCAGCTCCATGCTGGGCAGAATGTTCCCTCTCTGAGACAGACAGACATGGCCTCACATTCCAGCAGCTGAAGCAAACTGGGCAAAGGGGTGCAGGCTGGAGAGCATGAGTTGTGTGTCCAGCACTGCCTTGCAGAGGACACCTGAGCTCTGTGTTGTGCAGGGCTCAAACTCCCTCTACAGCTTCAAAAAGAAAAAGCAAAGGCTGCCAGGGATGCAGTGCCCTGCCTGCCCTTGTCTTAACTCCTGGATGGATGATGAAAGGGGCAGCACAGCCCAACCCCAAAGGCTCTACTGCCTATTCCTGACACCACCTTGGAGGCTGGGAATGGCTTGGTGCTCCAGGGGAACCACACACCAGGCTAAGTTCACCCCCCACTCCATGCCCAAGGCCTGTCTGCCCTCTCCCCCCACACACACAGAGTTTTGGACTAAATAATTGAGCTGTTTTCTTTCAGGGCTCATTATCCCTGTTTGGGTTTGATAAGGGCAGCTATGCTGGCCCATGCAAAGGAGCAGCTATTCCAGACAAGACAAATATGAAAATAGTCCCTGCTCCTTCCCCTGTGTGAACTGGACTGGCTTTACAACTTATCTTAAGTACAAATCAGAGGTAAATGCAGGAAAAAGAAAACAACAGCAGGCAGATAAGGCCTGTGCTCCCTCAGGAGACAGTGTGACCCCAGCCTGCTGCTGCAAGGAGAGCTCCTCACTCTGCCCTGGTTTAGCAGCCTGAGAAGCCCCCAGGCTGACACACACCTCCAGCATCATTTTCCAAGTTCACACCAACTAACCCTGCAAATCAGGACCCAGTTCTGCTGGACCAGGCTTTGCCAGAGCAGCACTCACTGACCCAGCAACAACGAAAGTGCTCAGACAAAGCAGAAACACTGGAAGGGTTCTGGCCTGGCTGACTGCTGCACATGTGCCCCACCTGCCTTTGCTTCCCTAGGCTGGCAGGATGAAATCCATGTGGAAATCAGGCTCCAGATCCATCTTCTGGCCACCCTAAAATCAAACCCGTTGCACTCAGCCCCTTCTGCCCCTGCTGCAATCTTTCTGCTAAGGGCAGCCTCATGTTCAACAAAATCCCCAACAGAGCATCCAGCCATTCCCCCCAGTGAATTGCCCCAATTTCAGCTGTTCTTACTCTTTCAGTGACAACAATAGACAACATGTTGCCTGAGAGAGAAGCTAACAAAGAAAAAAAGAAAACTGGTAAAAGCTGGATTAAAAAGAACAAGCAGCCAATTTAACCAATTCACAGTAAAGGGAAGGGTTCCTTCTAAAATCCCTGAAAAGCACCATTTTGTGGGGGCAGCAGGAAAAACTTACAACTTGTGCCAAGTGGGCAAGAGGGCTGAGGGCCTAGGACAAGCTGGAAGGACACATGCTGCTCTGCTCAGGACCAATGACCAGTCCTGCCCAGGCTCCAGAGCCTGCCTGGATTTGGTACAAAGCAAGATGTGCGTTGTCCAGTAAATTAAGAGTCAGGGTGAAAAATGCAGGTAAGGAAGTGGAAAAGCACACTGCTGTTTCAGCTGGTGAGGAGAAGCCATCTCAAAGCCTCTCCCTGTGCCAAAGTCAAACATTCAGAGTCACCTACTTGCATAAAATGGCATGCACTGCACTTGGGGTGATTGTTATGGCTCTGTTGCATTAGCAGCTGCAGAGCATGGTCTGCAAGGCAGCATTTCCCCCCCTGGAGAGGCAAGCACAAGCACATGAGGACTCCTGACCAGATGGGCCACAGATGTGCAGTTCTGTCATTTCACACCTGTGTAGGAGCCACCAGGCCTCCACCAGCCTCAGGAACTTCCATTTCTCCACCCATGCAACAAGGAGGATTTAATAACAGGCTCAGGACACAGCCACACAGTGCAGCTCACATGGGTACTGAGCAGCCAGCAACCCAGCTGGAGCAGGGTCACCACACACTGCTGCTCCTTACAAGGAGGAATCAGCCCACACCACTTCCTCACTCCAACTCCCTTCTGCTGGGCTTGTAAGATTTAACACCAGACCCTCATTCCCAAGCACTTGGAGAACAGAGACCAATTTGCTGCTCATCGAACAGCCTCTCTAGGAGTGAAAAGTACTAGTGGTTGACTGGGTAACAGTGCCACCACTTCTGGCCACACTAGACTGCATCAAATAGCAGGACAGCACCTGATCACAGAACACAATCCAAAACCTCAGGACACAATCCAAAACCTCAGGACACAATCCAAAACCTCACCAACAGAATTGGATCCAAATTCACATCGTTCTGAAACATATGCCAAGCCTGGGACCCTGGTGGGGAGGAGACCACACTGTCTGCTCACTAATGAGGAGGTGGAGGCAGCCTTGCAGGGTCTGCTCCAGAGCACACAGGACAGGAGTCAAAAACACAACCCTGACCTCGTCAGGGCTGTAGGTCACAACTTGCTCTCCCTAATGGACACCATGAGGGATGTCATTGCTGACCACCTCAGGAAAGCCCCATCACAAGCTTTCTGCAGTCCCCTTGGTGCGACAGCTGTGCTACACTAAGCCAGGGAAGCAATTTCAAGACAAGCACCCAACCCAATCAGCCCAAAAAGCTCCAAAACCAGAATCAGGCTCAGAGGAGCTGAAGCATGCCTGCCCACTGCTCTTATCTCTGACCCCAGCTGGGCTGCTGCTGACCCAGGCAGGGCTCTGCCTTCCCACCTGCAGCACTGAGCACCCGCTGTCCCTACGGACAGGCCCCTGGAAAGCAGAGTGCACATTTACCTTGCCACCTCCGGGCTGGTGCTTCAGGTTTTCAGTGGAGCCAATTTTGGACTTGACATTTTTCAGGTCAGGCATGGGTGCAGCTGAGGGCTGGACACGGGTCTTGGCAGAGGCTGGAGATTTGGGCGGCGTACGAACCACTGCCACCTTCTTGGGCTCCCGGGCTGGGGGGGTGGGCAGAGAAGGAGTGCGGGAACGGCTGCCCGGAGTCCCCGGGGAGCCAGGACTGCTGTAACCACTTCTGTCTCCAGATTTTGGCTGCTCACCTGAAGTTTGCAGACAGAAGGAGGTAAGGACAGGATAAGCCACCTGGGAACGCAGCCCCTTCCCCACCTTTTGGGGGTTGAATCAGGTTGCCCAGAGAGGTGGTGGAGGCCCCATCCCTGCAGATATTCAAGGTCAGGCTTGATGAGTCTCTGAGCAACCTGATCTAGTTCTGCAGGTCCCTGAGCACTGCAGGGGGAGCTGGACTAGATGACCTTTCAATATCCCTTCCAACCCCACACATCCTATGATCCCAGGGCCCACCAGCTATTGCCAGTGCAGACCACCAGCAGGGGGAAAGTGGCTGCACTTCCTTCTGTTTCATTAAGACAAAACTGTGATTAAAGACAATTTCCTAGTAACTCAGAAAGAAGATGGTCTTCATTGCCTGTATCCTTGGCAAGATTCCCCATTCAAACATGACATTTGCATGCATGACAAATTACAGATAAAAGTCACTCAAACAAAACCATTTTTCTATTAGAAATTTGAAAGTATTTTTAGAAAATTATTTGATGTGATTAAATAAGGCTGATCATTGAGCATCTTAGAACTGTCCCCAGTCTGAAAAGAAGTGGAAAAAGAAGATAAAATCCTTAAACATCACCTTTCTCAGACTTTGCTGCTGCAGGAGGTGGTTTTTTCTGCTCCTTTCTGCCTGTTTAATGAATTAGAAAGATGTTTAAACATAATAAAGCTGGAAAATTAATTAATTTAAGGTTTTATACAGCTCTGGTTAAGTATGAAAAATACATATATTCATTGAAATGCACCATTTTAATGGAAATTCACACTGCCTGATGCTTTCTGGGGTGTTCTTCTCTGAGAGTAATGGGCTAATCTCCACTCCTGCAATAGAAAAATTGATCCTCTTGCCCCTGGTCTTTGTGAAATATTGTCAAGAGAACAGAAATAGGTGGATTAAAAAAAAAAGGAGCTGCCTAAATCTTCCTACACACTGTCAGCTGTGTGAACAGAGCAAAGAGGCTCACTCCAGAGGAACCATCCCTAGCTGTGCACCCACAGCCCCGTGAGGAGCCCCAGCAGCTCTGAATCACCACAGCCTCTTCCCAGGCCCTTGCTCAGTGCTGTGCATGTCCCCTTGGTTCACAACCTCCAAAGCAGAACCTCTAGAGTCAGAGCCACCTTGAAGGTGGCTGCACGTTGCTCTCACCATCACTTACCAGAGCTGGGAGGTGTCTTGGGGGCCGTGGGGGTCTTTGCTGGGATGCGGGTGGCATTGCTGGAGTTCCTCTGGGCCTGCCCGGCACCGGAGCGCGGCGTGGCCGTCTTGGTGCCACCTCTCATCTCTGGGCCCTGGGGAAGCAAGGGGGAAAGGCTTGTTGTAGAGGGATCTGCCCAGGTATGGGCTGTCATTCCTCATGGAGTCACACAAGACATGTCCTTGCACAGCCACTCCTGGACTGGCAGAGTATCCATGCTGCTCTTCTATGTGAGCTCTCAGCTGCAGCTGTATTATTCACCACATGCTCAGGCTTGGTTAAGAAGTAACATTCCACTCTTTTCTCTGTTTTTCTAATTTTGTTTCTCCTGTCCTGCTAAAATTTTGTACAGAAGGTAAATAAATCCACTGCCCACACCAGAGGCTTCATTCAGGAGCACAGTGCCAGACCCCAAACAAAAGTAATTAATTTATTCTCACCTGAACACACCATATCAAAGTGTGTAAACTGCAGTAAACTGCTTATATATTTGTCTGCTGACCCTGCAGAAAAGCCTCCCCAAAACTATCATCTTCTTATGCTGGTCTGTGTACAAAAGCTCATGAAAAACACGGAATCATAGAATGATTTGAGTTGGAAGGGACCATGAAGATCATTTAGATCCAACCCCCCCTGCATGGACAGGGGCGCCTCCCACCAGCCCAGGTTGCTCCAAGCCCCATCCAACCTGCCCTTCAACACCCCCAGGGATGGGGCAGCCACAGCTTCCCTGGGCAACCTGGGCCAGGGTCTCACCATCCTCACAGCAAAGAATTTCCTTCTCATGTCTCACCTAAATCTCCCTCTTCCAGTTTTAATCCACTCCTCCTCATCCCGTACCTCCCTGCCCTTGTGCAAAGTCTCTTCCCAGCTTTCCTGGAGCCCCTTCAGGCACTGAAAGGTGCTCTAAGGTCTCCTTGGAGCCTTCTCTTCTCCAGGCTGAACAGCCTCAATTCTCTCAGCTGTCCTCCAAGGCAACTGGTCCCAAGGCAGCAAGGACTCAGAGCAGAGCCATCCCAATCCCTACCACAGTAAGACCACATATCCCAAGGTCTGTGACCTGGGATCTCCCACCCTTTCCCTCACTACAGGTGTATCCGTATGACTAAACCCCACAAAGGGGAACTCCGAGCTATTTTTTACACAGCAGAATGAGGCAGGGATGTGTGTGCATTTCCTGTCTCCCGTGGAGAACCTGGCAGACCTGGCACATCTCAAATACATCTGCTGTTCACGGCCCACGCGCCCGTAAAACACTGCACAGAGCTGCAAAGCAGAGCACCAAGGAGCATAAAGGGACCTGGAAATGCCTCAGGGAGCCCAGGAAACACCCTGCAGCAATGGGAACTCTGGCTGCAATGCTGAGGAGGGGTCCTACCTGCTGGTGAGAAGGACTCAGTTGCTTCAAACACCAAAATTGGAGCCAAGCCTGGCCACGGCCATTGGAAGAAGCAAATCCCACCCTCTCCACTGAATGGGACAAGAAGAAAGTGCCCAGCCAAGAAGTGTCAGGGATGCCTTAAGGTACTGCCCAAGGCAGCTTTGCCTCTCTCACATCCCATCTCCTTACCTTGGCTTTTGTTTCTTGTGTTCCTGTACTGGCAGGTCGGGATGTGACAGAAGAGACTCGTTTAGAGGTGGAGGCAGGGCTGGAGGGTGTTTTCGAAGGGGCTGTGCTAGAGGAGGTGTGTCGTTGGGGGGGGATGGAGGGTCTATCGCCTGGGGGTTTGGCAGTGGAAGGTGAGGATTTCTTAAAACATGGAAACAAAATCAAATTGGAACAAAATAAAAATCAGTACGGGAGGGAAACAAAAGGGGATCACCAGCATTAAATAGGATTAGAAGGTGCAATACAGGAGTGGGTGTGGGACAGGTGTTTTGTATTGCCCTCTCTCTGCAGCACTGTTGGGGTCTTATGGCTGCACCTCAGCTCTATCCCTCCCACCTAAGCCCCTTCCTGGGGAAAGTGTCACTCTGTGACACCCTGTCCTGGCCATCACCCTCCATACCAGTGGCACGTTGTACCACCTGAACTGCTCTGTTTGTTCCCAAATCCTGTGTGTGCTCCACTGGCAGGTACAGCACAATCAACAATTAAGTGTGACAGATATCTGTGAACTTCTGTAATTTACCCACTATTAAACTGTCCCTCATTCAGAACAAGCATCTGCAAGGCCTAGATTATTTAAATTCAATTTTTTAAACATGTCTTGCCTTTTTCAATCTTATGGTGCTTCTCCCCAGTACAGCCCAGCCCAGTTTGGAGCCTGCTTTCACACCAGTTTGCCCCAGCAAAGCCAACTGGTTGCTTTCTGGTCAGAGGCTGAGAAAATTATTTCTTTAGGCACCCACTCAACACCCTATGCTACATGTCTGGTTTAGATTTGGTTCAATCCCTTGCCCTCAAAGACCACCATGGATTGCACCATCCAAATCAGGGTGAAGGAATGAAAAACAAAAACACTCTTGAAAGACAGATGGAAGAACGGAAAATAATGGCAAGGCTTCCTAAGAGGCACAACTGCAGTCCAGGAGAGCAGGAAAGGGAGTCAGGAACATGCACAGCACTTAGTGGGCTGGTATCACCTCTGGTTTTGTTTTTTAGCATTTTTAGCTTACCTTTGGTTTCTTTTCCTCAGCTTCAGTCCCTTCCTTGTCTTTGCTGTCAATACGACCTGACAAACAGAAACACACACAGTTAACACTTTTTGGGACTGGTCATTACACTCTAGGGAGATGATGATGCCTGTGCTACAGCAGCATGCATGCTGGGTGGGTGTTCCATGTTTCTGCTCTCCTTTAAATTAAATACTACTCCTAGAAATACTACAAAGTCACTAATTCCTTGCAGAAATACTTCCACCTCGTAAACACACTCTGAGTTACTAGGTTAACCTGTGCACCAGCAGCATTAGTCACCACTGGAGCACCAGACATGTGGAACAAGGTCTGTATGAGACCATTTTGTCCACATCTCCACTCAGTTCCAGCAGCATCTGGTCAACTTAGGATGGAACACTTCTCCTTCACCCTAAAAATCAATCTCCCTCTCCAAAACACCCCAATGCTAAGAAATACATAAAGAAAGACTAAAAATGAAAGATGGCCCAGTCGTGCCAGCACAAGGTTGTCCATGATCTCATTTAAAGTTGTGCAGTGTGTTAAATTTGCACAGCAAACACCTGGCTCTTGTTACCCCCCATCTCTCCTGACATGCTGCTTTCTGTCTTCCCAGAGCCTCCAATCTGGGTCAGACCCTGCAGGGTCTTAAGGTTTTAGCTCCTGTCCTACTTGATTTCTATCAAGCACAGAGTGACTGACAATATTTCAGTGTGTTGTCCCATTAGTCTACAAGCAAAACAGACTGCAGGATTGCTAATTAGGAGATTAGAAACAGGGAGGATGTAATGTTTGTACTATAAGGCACTCATAACAAAAACCCCTTTTCCCAGTCTTCAGCTAATTCCTCCCTAATCTGGGAGGAAAAGCTGCTGATTTTCTCCCCAGTGTTTTGGAAACTTGCCCTGAGGGGTCAGCCTTTCTCAGTTACATGAATAATGTTGTTAATCCCAAATGGATGACCCTGACCCGTCCTAGCAGCCAACCCCCAGAACTGCTGCATGCACTGTCTTTCCCAAATCCACTTCAACTACAGACTGGAGCAAGGATGGAGCTGAACAGCCACAGTCAGGAAAAGGCCATTAATTAATTAAAAGAAATTCCTCCTATTGAATCAGAAACTGGTTGACTCTGGGTAATGCATCCCCAACCTGCCATGGTTTCCAGGCTCTGATGCCAGGGATAGCAAGCCATGCTGTGATGCCCTGCAGCGCGTTTGTGAAGCTTCCTGCTGGCTAACGAGATCACGGACAACAAGAAATACAGAATTAGCATTAGCTCCAATGGAAAAAGCTACATCAACCATTTCCTGATGAACCCCACACTTCTCTCTGCCACAAACCAGAGAGGTGGGATTCCTAAGGCAATGGAAGCAGCCAAGACAGGTTTTGGGATGGAAAGCAGAGCTTCCCCCAGGCCAGGCCCTGGACAGCCAGAGCTGAGGTGCAACCTGGTGAGACACCATTGGGTTTTGAGGTGTGTCCTGCTGCCCCAGGTTATTAACACAACTTCTTGCAAAACCTGCATCTGGCCACTGTGCAGGGCTCCCAGTGACATCCCTCCGAGTCCCAGTAAAGGTGGAAAAGAGCTCTTGGAGAGTGAAAACGTCTAAGAGCTGCTTTGTTGGCAGGGATACTGGCTTTGAGGGGTGAACTCAGATCTTCCCCCAAGACAGCTAAGACTGAGATTGCAGCAGGTTCAGGGGCTGACTGACCTCCCAGCCCAGTCCCACACACTGCTGGATGCACCCAAGGGCCAGGCCCCACACACACAGGCAGCTCCCACAGAACCCCCCACATCAGCCATCACATTGGCTCACCCAGGGACAGGCCATCTAGGACTGGGATCAGAGAAGGATGCTTTGTAAGAGCATCAGACATGGCCTGTATTGGGCAAAGGTTCCGACCTGGCCTCCAGCAGCAGTCAGTAGTGGATATTGAAGGGAAAAGTACAAGAAACAGAACTAATGTGGAGCCTTTTCCATGGTTAAATCTGCCATCTCACTTGCCTTTTTCCTCCTCCCTCCTCTTCAGGAAAGGCAAAGACTTACTGGATCAGACACATGCAAAACAGATGGCACGTGTCCTGCTGGACCAAGGCTGCAGCACGCTGGGTTAGCCCTGCTCCAACATGCCAGAACAATGTCCATGGGTCTTCATCTCCTCTGGGAAGGTGCCAGGTGTGAGTTAAGGTGCCCTCCCCACAGATCCAAGGAAACCAAACCAAAAACAGGTCAACAAAGCATGATCAGTGACACGCCAGCACCATGCAAGGGACGCAAAACTGAAGCGTAAGGGACTGGCAAGTACACCAGGACATCCAGGATTAAACTGAAAAGGGAAGGAGGGGGAGGGAGAAGCAGCGGCGCCTTGTTGATCAGTTTGCAGCAAAGGTCCAGGCCATGTCCCAAGCAGCAGGATTGGAGAGGTGGCAGCAAGCTGAAGTACTGGTTCAGGCAGCCTTGTTGAGAGCAAACCACCAGCCAGGTGAGCTCAGGGCAGCAAATGTTGCACACACCTTTCAGGAGCGGGACGTGACTGACGGCCTGATCTGCCTTGGGGACACGGGGCTTCCTCTTGGGCGTCCGGCACTCTCCTGTATCTGTCACAGCCTCTTCCAAAGGAACATCCTTGTCTTTCACCTCATCTTTTAACTCAACAGGGAGTTTGGCTATTTCTAGCAAGGGTCTAGAATCTTCTCCCTCCCTGAGCTCTGCTTCTTTCTTAGGAATGACTTCAGAAGGGGTGACCTCTGTGTCTTCTTTCCCCCTCCATGGCTGTTTCCTCTCCCGTTCATCCTCTCCAGCTTCATGTGACTCAGTTTCAACAAGAAGTGCCTCTCCTGGTATGTCTCTGAGGACATCTTTGGTCTTATTTTTTTCCATGGTATGTTCTTCAAGAGCTTCCTTGGCTGTTGCTGGACACAAGCCCATTTCAGGCCCTGGTGAAACATGCTGTCCCACCAAGGAAAGCAAGTGCTGCTCAGAAGTTTCATCAATATCACGGTCCTCATCTCTTTCCCGTCCACCAGCATCTTCTTTTAAAGGAGCTCTGGCACATAAAAGAGAGTCATCTCTGCCACCTGCTCCTGCCAACCCCTCAGGGTGCACACCACGACCTAGCTCTGTTCCCAGTGCTGGATCCACACCAATACCTTCTCTGCCTCGATGATCCGAGAATTCATTGATGTCTTCAGAAGCTCTGGAGGTTTGGTACATATCCAGAGGTATTGGAATGGTGACCTCGATTCTGGTGGGAGCTGCTGTTGTAGCCTTCATTTCGTGTGACAGAAGAGGCTGCTGAAGAACCCCAGCTACCTGCTTTGTGGGTTGGCTTTCTCTTTTTATTGCATCTCCCACATGCTCCTGAGGGCCAGGCTGTAGCTTTGGAGAGCTTGGCTCCCCTGGAGTTGAAGATGCAGGATACGAAGCATGGGCAAAGAATTAGCACAGACATGGCAAAGAGCAGTCAGACATGTAATGCTGAAGAGAGACTAAGGATTTCTGCCCTCAATCTAGAGGAAAAAAGCAAGTCCCACATTGTCCCACTGAAGAGACAACTCACTTCTAGAGGGACTTTGGCCTTGAAAGAAACTCTGATCTCCATGGGAATCAGGAACAATGACAGCCACAGCAGGTGGGAGACCAGATTCCTCGCTGGACCTGGTCTCACAACTAGTTTAGCTCTAGGGGTTTCCAGAAGCCAAGAATACAACCTTTTTGTAATCTAACACCACCACTGGACCACCAGTTTGCTGGGCAGTGACCACCTCTTCTTGCCTCAAGGGCCAGAAGAGGTCCCACACCCTCCCCTCTTTCCCAGGCTTACAGACTCCTTCAAGTCCTCTCCTCCTTTGCAGGAGATGTCCATGCAGACCATGACACCAGTTATATCCTCCCACAGCTCAAACCATCTCTGCCTTGTTCTCCAGAACATTCTTATTCCTGATGAGCTTGGGGAAGAGCACTTCTATGTCTTGTCTCTTTTTTCTGTATTTCAATTGTCAGTGGAGCTGATGGCCTCAGTGGAGAGGACTGCAATTAAAGCTGTGGCTGTAGCCACACAGCCACAGCAATTTTGGACTGTGCACCCACTCAGACTCATTAGGGCTCCACCATTTGGGCAGAGGGGAAAGTGTGACATTTAAGAGCCAAAACTTAAGGTCACAGAAACACAGATCTTATTTTGGGAGGACCATAAAAGAGAGAATTATGTTCTACTGCTGATCTTATGCATGACACAGACCTTTACAATTTCACCCAACAACTGCTGCATTAAGCCATATATTCTGGTTGAGCTGGAGCTTTTCTGTTAGAAATTCATTCAAGTGAAGTAAAGATGCACTGAGCAATGGCGAATTCACCCTGAACATACTTAAATTGCTTTAAAGTCAACTGCCCTAGTAAGAATGTGCATCTTATATTATTAATTTGTCCAGCTTCAAATATTGTTTGGTCTTTTTGAGCACTGATCAGGTGAGCTATGGAGCTAGATGAGAGAACTTCAGTACCGAGATTTCATTTGTGGCTTTGTTAGATCAACAAACAAGATCAGAAAAAGAAAAGAAGCAGTTCAAGACTGACATTTGATCAATGTTCTCCCCATTTTCACCATAATGATTAAGTGAAAGTACCACACAAAGACCTCAGAAATTGTGGTTTAAGAGAAATCCCCAATTGGCACCTATTGACAGGTAGTATTTGAAATGTGGCCTCAAGAAACACCTTTTGTAACCACAAGGACTTGGAGGGGGGTCAGGCAGTAGCCATCAGACTATCCTGGAAAATTTCTTATGGAAAATAACAACATGGAAGTGAAAAGATATCCAAGGCTCTGTGTGTGGATTGAAAATCACATTTTCTTCTGAATCACAGAGAACCATTAAAAGGAAGCAGAGCATTATTACAACTCACTCCACTTTCAGAGAAGTAACAATTTACATAAGAACCTAGAAATGTCCTAGGTAGGTTCTATCAGAGCTCCAGCTAGCTCTGTGTCCCCTATCTGACAACTGAAAGATCCCAGGACAGTACAGAGAGGTCTTGCTAAAACTCTGATGAGAAACAGAACCAGGCTGAGCAGGGCAGACAGAAGAGAGAACTTCACCCCTCTCCAGCTAGCAGTCGTGATTTCTTTTTTGTAGTGGTGCCACTATTCTAAATCCAGAAGAGTTGCTAGTCCAAGAACCACTGGACAGGTAAGCAAGAGGTTTCATTTCATCAGCAGAGAGCAGACTGCACATAACTGTGCTCATCTGTGTGTGGAAGGCAAAGACAACCTGAATTCTGCCCTGAGCTGAGAAGGCAAAGACCTGTTTACTTCCTGAAAAGACATGGATGTCTGAAAATGCAACCATGAGGAGGAAAGATGCTGTCCAAGCAGCTGGACAAATTTGTTACATCTACTGCACAGAAAACTACCTTACAAATGGGGTTTAACTAAGATTTTAACCAGCACACCAAATTAGAGAGCAATATCAAAGTGACTTTGAATGCCTAAGTCAAAGCACTGGGTGCTCTGGGAAAATCCCACCCTGAAGTTTTCAGTCAAGTCTGAACCGAGCAGGGTCAGGAGAAGCTTTCCAGATAGCCAGGATGTTCCTTGATCATTTCTTGACTCATCTGAGCTGACACACAATCAATAAATGCTCACAGCCCACTGTGGCTGGCTTTGCCAGTCACACTCCCTAGGACTGGGGTGAGAAAAAACCACCACCCTTCTTGTTAAAGTCAGATCACCAGTGAGTAGGTTTGAGACACATTTCAATCTAGAAAGATACACAGTATTTGGAGAAACAATTCACTTCTTCCATGTGTGACATGCAGGGCCCAAAACTGACTGTTCAATACTGAGCAGTTCCTCCTGGCTGCCTGCACCATCCTGGTTCTGTGACTCCTTTTCCAGCCTGGAGGACACCCTGGGTTGCAAATGGACAAACAAGCTTCAGCCAACCAAGGGAAATTTGGTGCATGGAAAGCTGCAGTTCCCTGAAATGAGTATGCTGGAACATTCAAAGCATGTATGACCCTCCCCTGTCAGGAACAGGGAGAACTGCACAACTGCTCATACAGTGCAGAGCATCTGCACTCCAGGAGAAGATTCCCAAGCCACCAGCAAACCAGCCACATGTGTGGGCAGCAGTGAGAGATGATTCACTAACCTTGAGCATCTCCTGCAGCGTGGTCCTCCAGGTTGGGGGTGGCTCCTACACCTGCCTCTTCAGCTGGTCCCAGAGGAGGGAAAGAATGGGAAAAACATGGTCAAAACAATAATTAAGTTTAAGTGTGTGTCTGGAGAATTATTCAACCTCCCTGCTGATGCTGCCCATCAGTGCTGTATGATGAGCAAGGCAGTATCAGAAAGGAAATCAACCCATGGATGGATCTTAGTGAGATTTATTGAACTTGTGCTGGAGTGATTCATCAACTCACACATCCTAGGTGGCAGGTTAGTACAAGCTCTTTCAGGCAGAGGTGCAGAAAACAGGCTGTTAAAGAGCAAGGAAACATGTGCATTTATATCCCCTCTTCTGCTCCCACCTAGCAGCACTCATGCGAATTCCTGACTCTTACCTGAGTTAGACACCAAGAAAGTGTCTACTACCTTGCTTCCTGTGATGGCCTCTGCCAAGGCTGCTTGACACCAGCAAATCCGAGCGTGTCTGATACAAACCTGACACTTCAGGAATATTGGCTCATTGGAGAAGCACAAGTTTCTTCACAGCATTGATGGTTTGTCTCTTTTCCAATTTATTACATGAGTACTTTTAACTGGCTTAATCAATTATTCTTGTATATGACAGTTCTACAGGCAAACTAGGACCTTCTCTGTTTTCTCCATTTTTTCCAGAGTTCATGACACATTGCTTCTTCCCAGCTCCTTGGTACAGTCTGATCCACAACCAGAGACTACTCACCCTTGCTAGCAGGGGAGAAACTGCATTTCAGCCCAGGGCTCCACCAGCAGCCTGGGAACTGCATGCAGGATACACAGTCTGACTGCCCGAGGGAGGCTGGGCTTGCTTCAGTGTTTGGACATTGGCAAGAGCCCATTTCCAGCCCTTACCCTCCCCAGGTCCTGCCCGAGGCATCCAGGAAAAGCCAGTGGTTACCACACAGGGGACACATACTCACTTTTCAGATACAGACCTGACTCTCCCAGGAGCTCCTGCTCTCCTGCACTGCTGCAGCTCACTCCCTTCTCACTCTCTACCTCTGAAAGAACACCATCCCTGGCTGGAAAACCAGGCCCAGGTGCAGTGAGTCCCCACAGAACACTCGGGCTGAATTAGCCACTTCATTTCCTCTGCATTATCCTTAAAACCCGCCAGCAGCCAAAGCACTGCTGCAGTGGCCTGGTTTCACCTGCCACTTTGGAGACAACTGCAGGGGCTGGGCTTGAGTCAGAGCACCAGTGAGACAAGCAGCAAGGTCCTCTGGTGACCACCTCACCAGCAACGTGGGGCTGCTGGCAGAGGGACAGAGATGACCGGAATCTGCAGGAGACAGGAGGTGAAGCCACCACAGGGACACCAGATAGAAAGATTGTTAGATGTGGAGCTGAGGAAGAGAGAAGAAAAGGCTGCAAGTTTCCCAAAGGATGGAGAAGGCAAGAGGACAATTGTAAGCTAGGAATTATTTCTGCAGGCCGTGGAGAAGAAAGAAGCAGGCATCAGGAGCAAAGCATGCCTGCAAGAGGCTTGGCAGTGTTCTTTTTAAGCACTAGCCAGTCCAGCTCTCTGCTCTGTCTGCATCAAGAGATGAAACTGCACCTTGGTCTCCCTCACCTGTGGTTCCTTCTGGGATCTCCCCGTGTTGTTCGACACCACCCTGATCCTCGTGGTCTCCTTCCTCCACTAAAGGTGCTGTGGCATCTGAAAAACAACGCAGCTTTCACATAGCCATCAAGTGGCAAAGCCCTGTGGAGGCCAGGACGTGCCTGAAGGACTTTTTGCTCAAAAAAGCATCTGACTCCCTCCCTTGAGCCAGTGCTTGTGGAGGGAGACAACCAAGCATGACACAGCAAAGCCAGGACCACGGGGACAATGAGCTGTCCCCTGTCACACACATCTCCAGCATATTCCTAATGTAGCTGGAGGCTTTACCATAAACACTGTCTGAAAACATAAAGCTGAAGCAGCCACTGGTGCCTGATCTGCACAGGAACATCACTGGCCTGGAGCAGGAAGGAACAGCTCCCATGGGATACCTTCACAAACCATCCAAGCTCTGTGACTGTGCCACGCTCTGGGCAGCTCTGAGACAGACCTGGCTCCATCTACTAGAGGGATGTCCCAATGACAAGTCCCAGCCCAACTGGAATGAGGGACAACAACCTAGTCTGCACTAGCCAGGTTTTATGGACTATCTTCTTGAGCCACATTCCCAGGAACAGAGCAGCTTCACCAAGAATCAGCTGGCCCACACCTCCAGCAGTACAGGGCTGGAACTGGTCAGCATCTCTGTCCATCTTCCTTTTAGATGAATTTTGCAGACTAATGCTTTTACCTGAAGTCCCCAAGGGGCAGATACTTGGGACTGAAACCTCCAGAGGAACACAAAAAGTGCAGTTTATTAAAACAGTGAACATATCTCCAGACCACTTTGGAATTAGGTTCTTTCTAGAAACATGGCACTCAGGTAACACCCTGGAGCAGCACACACGTGTCCTAAGTCCTACCAATATAACCTTCACATCAGCACAAAAATTTGTTTTGTGTATAGACTCTGGCCCCCCCATCATTCCAGCATGAATTACACTGTACTAATGAACACACAAATACAGAGGGGGCAGAGATATTAGGTAGAGCTAACTCTGGGAGCAAACACAGCCACCAGGACATGCTGTCAGTATCTTGGAGGAGCACAACACTGCAGACCTCTGGCCCTGGGAGCACACAATCTGGGATTGCTCCCAGCTGCCCGGAGCTAACAGGAGCTCATGGTCACTGTGTAAAAAGTCTTCAGGAAACAAACAGAAGGCAACTTCCTGAACTACAATAAAAACTTCACCTTCTCTTGCCTTCCAACCCACTCTCCACCTTTAAAGCTCATCATCTCATGCTGCAGTGGCAAACATTGCTTGTGATGAGACTAGTGAAGACCATTTGTCCAAGAGTGTAGACACTCCCTCTGAGAAACCCCTCCAGACCACAGCACGGCGAGTCTTTTGGCAAGGTTTACCACGACCCCATCCATCATGGTCTCAAAGCAGTAAGTCAAAGAGCTCCCACCTTCCGTAGTTGGGGTGCTCTTAGCGTCAGATGTTTCAGAAACAGGCTCATCCGATCCATCATCGACTGGAATCTGAAGGGGATAGCCTGGAAAACATTCAAATACTTAGAACAAGTCCTTGGCTATGAATTAGGGCCTGTGCATTATGAACTCTGATTGCCCAGATCCACAGCAGCAAGAAACTGTGACTGGGGAGTCTAAAACTCCTGAACTAATAAGCAAGCAAAGCGTGAAAATGTCAACCAAAAGCACCAGTGTCACCACCAAAAGGAAAGAGCAGAAACCCACCAGCAAAAGAAAAGCCCAGTGAACTGTACAGCTAGAAACAGCAAAGCATGGCACAAGCAGGAAAGGAGATCTTAGCAACAAAAGCAGAAAAGATGCACAACTTTGGAGTCACTGTTGCCCTCTCTGCCATTTCTGGAGCCATTAGCCTCCCTCCCAGGGCAGGCTGCTGAACACTCCCACGATGTGTTCACTCTCGTCATTGCAAACCACAAGTCTCTATGAAGAGCTTGATGCAGAACACAAGACTGTGCCACAAGCAGGAAAGGAGATCTTAGCAACAAAAGCAGAAAAGATGCACAACTTTGGAGTCACTGTTGCCCTCTCTGCCATTTCTGGAGCCATTAGCCTCCCTCCCAGGGCAGGCTGCTGAACACTCCCACGATGTGTTCACTCTCGTCATTGCAAACCACAAGTCTCTATGAAGAGCTTGATGCAGAACACAAGACTGTGCCAAGACTTGGTTGCAAAAGTCATCTGTTGGAAGAGCAGGGAAAGAGGCACATTTCTCCTCTCTGCAAGGAGTCTGAGCAAATCAAATAATGAGAACTGGAGAAAACGACTTGGAAAAGAAGATTCAAGCTAACACAAGCAAAATCCCTGGGAACCTGTGATGTGCAAAGCTGAGGCTACAAGCTGAGAGGAGCTGTCAGATTGAAATGCATTACAGAACCCAGCATGAATGGATGCTATGGATCCTCTCCAAGACAGAGACAATCCATTTATCTGGTGTAAGCTGTGTCCAAAGGACCTCAAGAAAAGAAAATTAAGATGATGTTTAGATGGAGCATAGCCAGGAGTGAGTCGCACCAGGTTTGCTGGTGTGATACGGGTTTCCAAGCCAAATTATGGTGCATGGTGGAATGAGAAAGTAAAGGCTTCTTGAGAAATGCAGGTCTAAAATATGGGGCAAAAGACTCCTGCATGGCCCCTGCCCTCAGAGCTCTCTGTCCAGTTACCCCCCTCTCCCTGTGCAGGTGAGAAAAGCAGGCAGCAAGCAGCATCCTTGAGCTGTGTCTCCAAATAAAAGCAGTGCTGCATTTTTATAGCAAACTAAAGAGTGAGCACAGAAACACACATTTGCAAAGCTGCAGCAGTTAAGATCATCACTAGTCCCTGGACACTGGGTGTTCTGTTCCTGCTGGGTAATGATATCCAAAAGCAGCATTTTCCTACGACTGAACATCACAGTATCTTGTGGTCTCCCCACTGTCCACTGGCTGCAGACACCTGATCCACAGGAACCTTCCAGACACACAAACACCAGCTCCTCCTGGTCATCCCCAAGGACACCTGGCTGGCCTTGCTCTCCTCACTTTGGTCATTCCCTCAGCAGTGGGCAAGGCAGATCCCTTCCCCCATCTCCTCCTGGAGCTGCTCACCTGATGGGATGTGCTTCTCCTGGCTGGCTGCGTGATCCTCCATCATGGTGACGTCCTGCCGCTGCTCCGCCGTCTCTCAGCAAAGGTACCTGGAGAGGAGAGGGAAAATAAACACCCCTCAGGCAAAACCTGACCCATCTTCACCTGGTGAGCTCCCATCTACTGCTCCACCAGACATGTTTGGTTTGTCAAACAATTTCTAGGAGCATTAAACATCCTATTGGAAGCCATCAGCCAACAACAATCAACCACCATTTCAGCCACTGTGAGAAGATATCTCCTTTGTTCTCTTTTCCTGAGAGCCCTGAAATAACACCATTGTGCTTGAGGAAATTCACAGCTTAAGGTACATGTTACACACTGGGTTTCACACCAGTGCTGAAATACTCCCTGGAGCATCTAATGCTGGTGCTTCCAAATCCAGCAGGAGCAGGTTTTGTGGTCATCCAGTCGAGAAGGACAGTGGGAAGGGACTGCCTTGTCACCAAAGGGAAGATCTAATTATTCCTGCAGAAGCAAAAGCATCTGCCAGGCACTACATCCATCACAACAAGAACATGGGCAACTTCTGCCCAGCTGCAGTATCAAATTCCACAGAATTTAAGACGTCTTAAGCAAAGTGACCATGCTGGTGCACAAAGGACACTGCCCAGCTGCAGTTTGGTCCCAGATGATCACCAGGAGCCCACACAGTGCAGAGGTACTTCTGCTGCACATTCCAAACCCTTCACTTGCCAGTTTAATCCATCTGCTGGCAAGGTGTAATGCTGGTTCAGGAAGGGATGCCTTCTGCCCCTGTGGATACACCCAGCAGGGCCACACAGCTATAATGATACACCTATCATCTGAAAAGAAACCCAAAAGTGACAGACAGCAGTAAACCAAGACTCTGCAGAGGTGGATTTGGAGCAGGGACTCCCTGGGCTAAGCACAGTAAGCAGGTCTGTACACTGGAGTGGAAGTAGAAAGGTGCTAAAATTCAGTTATTTTTCTAATGTGCATCTCAGTGCAAAAGGAAATGAAATCACTGACAAACATCATCCGCTTCTGCGAAGCAGGGACCATGTTTCTCCTTATTCTCCTTGCTAGTTGGACAGACATTGCTTTTAGTTGACTTCCTAATAGCTGATATAATTACAGCCATTGGCAGTGATTAATCACTAGCTATTAGTGCAATCACACACTTGCCATGACCGTCAGGAGCCACTGAATCCAGCAATGAAGCTCAGGTTACCAGCAGCAAGGAAGGAAACTCACGTGGTTTTGTTTGCGGGCAATAAACTAACTGGATATATGGAACTAGGCAAGAGAAACTGATGCTGGTAACCAGATCTCTCACCCAGCTTGTTTTAAGCCTTAGCAAGATGACTATGCAATTTAACTTCTGCCTTAGACAGCTACAAAATCATCTGACAGAACTGTACCAAGTCAGGTCAAGAACTTGTCCTGAAAGGAAATCACCTGTAAAAATGGAGGTATAAAATAGGAAAGAATGGAGTGCCTATTTTTTTCTAAAAAAAAAAAAAAAGGTGGGGCCCTTCACTTGGACATATGGCTGCCCTCCAGAGATCAAAAGATCACATTGATTATACTGGGGTCTCATCTGGCCACCACTTGGTTTTATTTACAGGTCTACTTAGCATCCAAATACTTAAATATAATGTTAACCCAGTGTACAAGGCACAAAGGCAACTTAGGCACAAATACAAGTGTAAAATGACACAGAAATGTGCTGCCCTTGCATGTGTGTCCACCTACAGAAGTGACCTCTGCCTCAAAGGCACACGTAGCTCTGGGTACAGTTTTCCTCACACACTGTCCTGTTAGTAGGAAAAGGTGGATGGGAGCAGCAGTTCCTACCCCACTCACAGCTGCTGGTCCCCAACAGGCTCACTTCACTGAAGATCTACAGATTTTAGCATCTCTGCTTCCCAACTGCAGACCCAGAGGCAAACTACTCACAGATCTGCTGCGCTGGATTTAACTGAGGCTGTTTCTTTATTCTGCTTTTCTCTCTTCCTCCCATCTGTTTTTTTTTTGAGAAGAGCAATTAGTGTCTCCCCCAGTCTCCCTGGAAAGATACATTTTTGTATCTTTCTTGCCTCTGGACAAGAATTTCCCAGGACACCTTCCAGGGAGGACTCCTGGCTTGACAGCTAGTGAGCTCACACACCCCACCAGAGGCTCATCTGCGGGTTCCATGGATAGGATCTGACACAGCCAAAAATCTTCCACGTTTCCTCTGAACAGAGCACTTAGCATCTGTGCAGCCCTGGCACAGCAGCAGCCAGCCATGATTCAGCAAAGGCTGCTGGAGCTGCTGATGGGCTCATGGGGCTGCCAGCTCACAGAGCTGTCACCCTGCTTCCCACTGACCTGCCAGAGCTGGGGCTTCTCAGCACAAAGCAAGGCCAGGGGTTTCAGAGAAGGTGACAATCCTGCTGTCTGTCCAGGCTTTGCAAGAAGGACTTGAATGCTGTGCTGCTCACAGCTGGGCAGAGACAGCCCCTGCTCCCACTGAGCTCCACGTGTGGCAGGATTCAGCCACCTCAGAGCTGAAGGACTGGAGATGGGCTGGGGAGGTTGGAGTCATTAATTTTTCAGAGACAAGAGAAAGAGCTGCATTTTCTCTTACAAGGAAAAAAGCACCATCAAGAGCCACAAAGATCCAGCAAAAAAACCCCCACAACTGAGACCCCGAGAGCATCTGAAACCTGGCTGCAGCTCACAAAACACTCTGGATGCCCATTGATTTGGACAGAGGGGTTTTGGGGGCTGATGGCAGGGTTTGCTGTGGAGAGCAGAAGCATCTCCCAGCAGATGAAGCACCATGTCCCCCTGCCACGTCTGCAGCTCAACAGGCAGAGGAGCAGAATCACTTCACCTGAGCCACCCTGTGGAGCAGTTAGGGGTGGAGAAGAACGAAAACTCAAACTGTCATGAGCCAAGGGGCAGGGAAGGGGGTCCAGCTCCTGCCTGGTTCCCACAGCACCTTGCTTTAAGCTGAAGAAATGCCCACTCAACAGATGCCTCCCTCACAAGCCCTACCCCTCCTGTGCAGCTCATGGAGCATTTCCTACAGCTCCCCTACCAAGGCCTGGCAGGGATCTAAACCCATTACAACAAGGCTGATGAAATTTCATCAGCACCAGATAAGCAAATAAATAACATAAAGTGCACAAAGAGATTTAACGGGTAAGTACAAGTGAGCCATCACCACCATTATCTCTAAGCTGCAAAGCTCTCCCAGCAGAATGTGAAATAGGCCATATAATTATACAGTCCTATTTACCAGGAATGTCCTCTATAAAGACATTTTATGCATCTCCAATGGATGCTGAAGTTCATTCTCTCCTTTCTTTTTCATCCATCATGGATGTCAGCTAAAAGCTTTGCTCAGTCAGCACATGGTTTTGGGACACATCTGTCCAGCTGAAACCAAGAAGCAAACCTGAATTGCCTACATGCAAACCCCTTTTTATTCTAGTTCTAAGTCTCAGCTTTGCTTCAGGATTTCACTCAGGTAATGAATTCATGTGACTACAGAGAATTTAAACCTTATTAAAACTGCACAGTTTAGACTAGACTTTTTTTAAAAAAAGATGGTCTGAAAACTGCACATTGGAAAAACTACTTTGAATTTTGAAATAAGCCTATAGTGACAATCCTTTTTGTTTTCAAAGTGGGGGAAAGGGAAATCCCTCCTGGGGAAAAACATAACATTAAGGGGAAAAAAATGTTCTAAAAAACTCTAAAACCAGGCCCACCTTGAAGCAATGGTTCAGTAATGAATAATGACAGCAAGGGTAGCTGCACTGAGATAAGCTTTGGTAGCACCCTCTACATGACAGATAAAGCACAAACCCTCCTAAGGATCTTATCCATTTCCAGCAGAACTATTCTTGTTAACCAGGGACACTATCTAAAAAGCAACAGCCTATCCCATAAGTAACAGCTCCTCCAAACTTTTTCAACCCCCCAGCTTTCCCTGTCAGAGCAGAGCTGTATCAGGGCTCTGTGAGCTGCACAACAGAAGGGGGGGGGAAAGTTTTTATTTACAGGAGCAGGAGAAGCAGGCTGATTTCATAGAATCCCAGACTGGTTTGGGTTGGAAGGGACCTCAGAGATCATCTAGTTCCAACCCCCTGCATGGGCAGGGACACCTCCCACCAGCCCAGGCTGCTCCAAGCCCCATCCAACCTGCCCTTCAACACTGCCAGGGATGGGGCAGCCACAGCTTCTCTGAGCAACCTGTTCCAGGGTCTCACCACCCTCATGGTAAAGAATTTCCACCTCATGTCTCACCTTAATCTCCCCTCTTCCAGTTTAAAGCCATTCCCCCTTGTCCTATCACTCCACACCCTTATAAAAAGTCCCTCCCCAGCTTCTATGTAGAAATCTGTAGATGCCTGGTGATGCAGGCTCAGCACCTCTGGCGTTCGCTCTGTATGTGCAACCTAGTCAGGTTGGGCACAAACCCCCTTTGTCCAAGATGTGGGTTTAACTGCTGAGAATCCAGGCAGCTCCTGTCACCAAATGCCACTGCTTTGCTATTTGCAGCAGTGTCAAGATGAGACCCAGGCTGGCACACAGCATATTTCACTCCCAGGCTTGGAGATGCTTTCTCAATGATTAAGGATTATTGAGCAGTGGCCTCCAAACCCCCAGCTGCTTTTCAGAGCTGAATATTGCCATCCCCAGCCTCAGAGGTACAGATATTCCAATTGGCTGTAACCAGGGTGGGTGGAGGTATCTGTAGATCCATGGGCTGAGCAGAGAGTGTGCAGCTCCAGTGGCACATCAGGATCCAGGAAGTTCAGCTCAACATTGTGGTAACCAGGAGCAACGCTCACAGCATTTGAACAGCATTTCATGGCTGAACCGAGCCCCAGAACAGTCCCTGCAGGCCTGTGCTGCACAAAATGTTAGGGGCTAAAAGCCAAAAGAGCAATTAACATCCCAAAGGGCTCAAAGCACACAGGACCACACATCCAGAAAGAAGAAACCTTAATTGAAATGATGCAAACCCTTAACAGCCACTGACAG